CTCTCTCTCTCTCTCACTGTCTAACTCTGCCTGTCAAAAAAAAAAAGTTCCAGAGGTGCCCAGACACAACTATTTTGAAGATAAACTATCCAAGGTCTCACGCATATTTCTTTTTTTTCCCAAAGAATTATGTATTTATTTATTTGAATGTCAGAGTTACACACAGAGAGAAGGAGAGCAGAGAGAGAGAGAGGTCTTTCATTCCACTGGATCACTCCCCAACTGGCCGCAATGGCTGGAGCTGTGCCGATCTGAAGCCAGGAGCCAGGAGCTTCTTCCAAGTCCCCTACACAGGTGCAGGGGCCCAAGGACTTGGGCCATCTTCTGCTTTCCAAGGCCACATGAGAGAGCCAAATCAGAAGTGGAGCAGCCGGGATTTGAACCAGGGCCCATATGAGATGCTGGCACTGCAGGCAGTGGCTTTACCCGCTGTACCACAGCGCCAGCCCCATGCATATTTCTGATAACAATAAGTCATTGCTTAATTATTATCCCCATAATGCCAAAATCAATAATTCAATGAAAATATGAATAAAATAGTTCAGGTAGTTGAAGAACAAAAATTCATTGGCAGGAATTTTGCTTTGGATTCTCTGTCACGGTACTCATGGTTATATTGGCTACTGTGCTTTTCCTGATAGTACTGCACAGAGAAGTGGCTAATACCATAGACTCATTTTGCAAGAGGTCAGATCAAATCAATATCATAATTCTTTGAATCACCTTTGATACAACCACACTAAAACCACTCACATGTTTTATCAAGACCACAATGAAATAGCTAGAATGACTACTATAAAAAAAGATAAGAGATAGCAAGTGTGTGAGGAGGGAACTCATACATTGGAGGGAATGTATACTGGCACAACCAATATATAAGTTCATCAGGAAATTATAAACAAAACTAGCACATAATTCAGGAAACCCCAACTGGGTGTATATATAAACAAAGTGAAATCAGTATCCTGAAGAGGTATCTGCATGAAGTTCATACCAGCATTATTTATAATAGCCAAGGTACAGAAACAACCTCAGTGTCTGCCATTGGATGAAAAGATAAACACATACTACGCGCGCACACACACACACACACACACACACAGAGACATATTATTCAGCCATAAAAAGAAGCAATTCCAGCCATTTAAGACAGGGTGGATGAATCTAGAGGATATTATGTGAAGTAAAGTAAGCCAGACAGAGACTTTATGATCCCATTTATATGTGGAACCTAAAAATGGTTTAACTCACAGAAGCAGAGAGTAGGATAGTGGATTCCAGGGACAGGGCAGCAGGGGAAGTAAGAAGATACTGGTCATTAAGAGTATAAATTGTATGTTATAAGACAAGAGCTCTGGTGATGTAACATACAGCATGGTGATTATAGTTACTTATACTGAATGGTTTACTTGAAATTTGCTAACAGAATAGATCTAATTACCCTCATTCTCCCCACCCCATCCCCCACACACAAATGGGAACTACGTGTGGTGATGGATGTGTAAATTAGTGATAATCATTTCATAATGTATATAGACATAAAATCAACATATTGAACACCTTGAATATAAAGATATATATACATTTTTGTTTGTTAATTATACCTCTATTAAACTGGAAGAAAGTAATTGTGTCATCAAAAAAAATCACATATTTGGGGGCCAGCATTGTGGCACACCAGGTAAGCTGCACCTGCAAGGCCATATATGTACCAGTTCAAGTACAGGCTGCTCCACTTTTTTTTTTTTTTTGACAGGCAGAGTGGACAGTGAGAGAGAGAGACAGAGAGAAAGGTCTTCCTTTGCCGTTGGTTCACCCTCCAATGGCCGCCACGGCGGGCTCGCTGCGGCCAGCGCACCATGCTGATCCGATGGCAGGAGCCAGGTACTTATCCTGGTCTCCCATGGGGTACAGGGCCCAAGGACTTGGGCCATCCTCCACTGCACTCCCTGGCCACAGCAGAGAGCTGGCCTGGAAGAGGGGCAACCGGGACAGAATCCGGCGCCCCGACCGGGACTAGAACCCGGTGTGCCGGCACCGCAAGGCAGAGAATTAGCCTAGTGAGTCGCGGCGCCGGCCAAGGCTGCTCCACTTCTGATCCATCTCCCTTCTAGTGTTCCTGGGAAGTGGAAGATGGCCCAAATGGCCTAAGTGCTTGGGCCCCTGCCACACAAGTGGGAAATCTGGATGGAGTTCCTGGCTTCTGGTTTCAGCCTGGCCCAGCCCCAGCCATGTGGCCATCTGAGGAGTGAACCACTGGATAAAGACCTCTCTCTCTCTCTCTCCCTTTTCCTCTCTCTCTCTCTCTATATATATGTGTGTGTGTGTGTGTGTGTGTGTATAAAACTCTGCCTTTCAAATAAATAAACTTTTTTTTAAAGAAAAGCACATATTTAAACAAAACTTCATCAAGTTCATTTTTTTTTTATTTGACAGGTAGAGTTATAGACAGTGAGAGAGAGAGACAGAGAGAAAGGTCTTCTTCCGTTGGTCCATTCCCTCCCCCAAATGGTTGAATACAGCCAGCGCTGCACCAATCCGAAGCCAGGATCCAGGTGCTTCCTCCTGGTCTCCCATATGGGTGCAGGGGCCCAAGCACTTGGGCCATTCTCCAATGCCTTCCCAGGCCACCGCAGAGAGCTAGACTGGAAGAGGAGCAACCGGGACTAGAACCCAGCACCCATTATGGGATGCCAATGCTGCAGGCAGAGAATTAACCAAGTGAGCCACGGTGCCAGACCCACCAAGTTCATTTTAAAACACAAGATTAACTACAGTGGATGAGATTTCTTTTGGCATCCTCTTTGCCTGCTCTGGAATTAACGGGTGCTTATAGAAATGTAGGAACTAGATATTGCATGAACGTGAGCTATAATTTTAGTAAATCACAGAATCTAGTAGCTACCAATAGAAAAGTTATTGATGAGCCAGGAGATTGTTTTTGTCTTCTAAAGTAGATACCAAAGCAATGAGAATAAAGAAGTGAGAACAGGCCAGCGCCGCGGCTCAATAGGCTAATCCTCCACCTAGCGGCGCCGGCACACCGGGTTCTAGTCCCGGTCGGGGCGCCGGATTCTGTCCCGGTTGCCCCTCTTCCAGGCCAGCTCTCTGCTGTGGCCAGGGAGTGCAGTGGAGGATGGCCCAAGTCCTTGGGCTCTGTACCCCATGGGAGACCAGGAGAAGTACCTGGCTCCTGCCTTCAGATCAGCGCGATGTGCCAGCCGTGGCGGCCATTGGAGGGTGAACCAACGGCAAAAGGAAGACCTTTCTCTCTGTCTCTCTCTTTCACTATCTACTCTGCCTGTCAAAAAAAAAAAAAAAAAGTGAGAACAGTACCAGAAGACTTTCTCAATGGAAACGTAATGTCTGGGACAGAGCTGATAAAAGAAAGTGGTCTCATTGGTTCAAATAAATCTACCTTTCTGCAAAGCAAAAATTTAAAGAGCAAGGACATCAAAGATTTAAAATCTTTGATAATAAATGATTTCCTGGACAGAAATCAAGAATGCTTCTACGTTCTCAAGAGTACTCATCATGCTGCTTGCCTTCAGTCAGTGTTAATAATTGTAATATGTCTGTCCCTACTGTGACCTCTGAGAGAACTTGTCTTCCAAGTCATTTCTCCAAACACCAACATCCTTTACTCTCTGCTCCAGGACAAGCCCACTTCCTCAGGCAGGGATGGCCCTCTTCCAAATCCAGACCATTCCTGCTGGCAGCTCTTGTCTGGGTCCAATTGGCCTCAGTTGGAGGCCCAGATGGCTCATTTCTCAAACCCCTGCAGGACTTTAGAAGTATCCACCCCTTCCTGATTGCCCTGCCATTAGTGCCATCAAGACTTGAATGTTCTCCCTAAATCCTAACCCAGTTTAGTAAAGCACATAGATGCTGTTCCCAGAGAACAGAGTTGGTCATGGAGTGAAGGCAGTTTCCAAAAGGGTGCAATACATTTATCAAATGTAAATAACTGCCGTTCAACTATAGATTTAGTTTTCATTAATAAGATTTCTTGTATATATAAATGGTCATTACATCTATATTAATCAATATCTCTTGATTTGTCAATCAGTTGATAGAAATTTCAGGCTGATAGATGAATAGAAATTATCTGAAAATATCATGTATAGATAGAAGTATAAATACAATATAGAGATATAGGTATATGGAGATTCTATAGTTAATAGCTATGTCTGTATAAAATACAAATATACATTTTTTAAATTAGCAATTGGATACTCTGTTTAAATACACTTATATCGGTGCTAATCTATCTAAATATTTTTAAAGAATTTCTGAAAATTTGTCAGTTTATCTATGGTTGCCACACTATATTAGACAAGCTACAAAGATTTTCAGCAAATTTGAAGAGTATGTTTTAGATCATGTCATTTAAAATATTGACTCTGTGTCAAATGCAGAATTCAAGCTGGGAGACTTTCTAAGACAGGCGAAGATGAGGACGGATTGTCACCTCCTTTCAAGTACACATTTGGGATGCTCTATTTTAAGATGTGGATTATATGATGTATACAAATTTCACTTTTTGAGTTTCAAAGAACTCCTCAGTCATCTTACAGAACAGGTAAATTGAGGATATGTGTTTCCCAGGGCTTTGGTAACAAATTACCTCAATATAGCAGCTTAAGACAACAGAAATTTATTCACTCACAGCTTTGGTGATGAAAAGTCTGAAGTCGGGATGTTGGCAGGACTACATACCCTGTCTGACAGCTCCAGGGAGAAATCCTTCTTCACTTCTTTTAGTTTCTGGTGGTAGTCAGCAATCCTTCACATTCCTTGCCTTTAGTAACAAACTCCATTCTCTGCCTCAGCCTTCACATAGTCTCTCTCCCTGTGTCTCCTCTGTGTCTTCAAATCTTTCTCTTAAAAAGGCAACAGTCATTGAATTTAGGACATACTCCAATCCAGTATGATCTTATCTTTATTTGATTATATCTGCAAAGATCTGATTTCCAAATAAGGTCACATTCACAGGTACCAGGGATTAAGACATCAGCATATCTTTTTGGCAGACACAATTCAACAAACAACAGGAAAATCTTTAACATGGATCAAAAATCCACTTTGTCAGAGGCTCCAAATACCAATCTGGAGAGATAGGTGCCAGGACACGAAATGCCATATACACAGGAAACAAGTAGGATTACAATTAGGACTCTAAAAAGGATTAAAAAAAAAAAAAAGTTGTTGTCCAAACTCAGTTACTTTTGATAGTGAAGGTGAGTACAATTAATAATTAGGTCAGGGAGTGAGTGTTTATCCTACCAGTAAAGATATCTGCATTCCACATCAGAGAGTCTAGGTTCACTTCCTGGCTCTGGCTCCTGAATCCAGCTTCCCACCAATGCAGATGTTGGCAGGCAGCATTGATAGCTCAAGTATTGGACTCCAGGAACCCAAGTTGGAGACCTGGATTTTAACCTCAGATCTGAGCTTTGGCCCTGGCCCAGTCTCAGTCATCATAGGCATCTGAGGAGTAATTCAACAGATGGAAGCTTGCGCTCGCTCGCTCTCTCGCTCTCTCTCTCTCTTTTCCTCCTTTTGTCTCTCTTTCTCTCTCTCTACTCCAAGTAGATAGAAAATTGATTAATTAATAAGTCATGACAACACATATATGTCAACACAGTCCTTAAAAAACCATCATGTGGGGCCAGTGTTATGGCATGGCAGGTCAAGCCTCCCCCTTGCCTGCTATGCTGGCATCCCATATGGGTGCCTGTTCGAGACCTGGCTGTTCCACTTCCAATCCAGTTCCCTGCTAATCTGCCTGGGAAAGCAACAGAAGATGGCCCAAGTGCTTGGGCCCCTGCATCCATGTGGGAGTCCCAGAAGAAGCTCCAGGCTTCCAGCTTCAGCCTGGCCCAGCTCTAGCCATCGTAGCCATTTGGAAAGTGGACCAGTGGATGGAAGATCAATCTCTTTCCCTCTCTCTCTCTCTCTGTCCTCCTCTCTCTGAAACTCTGTCTTTCAAATAAAAAATAAATCTTAAAAAAAAAAAAAACTGTAAAGCATGATCACCTTAGTCCTAAAGGCGAAAAAAATCACAATATTAAATTCTTGAATTATAGCTATTATTTTGCATTTGAGTTGGTTTTTTCAAATTTATTTTATTTAAAAGGCAGAGAGACACAAGGAGGGAAAAAGATCTCCCTTCCAGTGGCTCATACTCTCCATCTGCCTGCAACAGCTAAGGCTGGGCCAGACTGAAGCTAGGAGCTGGAAACTTAATCAAGGTTTTCCACATTGGTGGCAGGGACCCAAATATATGAGCCATCACCTGATGCCTTCCAGAGTGTTCCTTAGCAAGAGGCTGGAATTAGGAGCAGAGCTGAAACTCAAACCAAGGCAATCTAGAGTGGAATGTGGGTATCCCCAGTCTCATCTTAACCACTACACCAAACACCCACCCCTGAGTTATTTCTTGAATGGGAAACTCCATGTAGGCTTTTTTTTTTTTTGTAGATTTTAACAAAATATTTTTAGAAGTATGTATTTATTTATGTGAAAGGTAGAACAACAGAAAGAGAAGGAGAGACAGAGGGAAACAGATCTTCCATCTGCTTCACTCTCCAAATGGCTGCAACAGCCAGGGCTAGACCAGGTCAAAGCCAGAAGCCAGGAACTTCGTGTGGATATTCTACATGGCTGGCAGGGGCCTGAGCACCTGAGCTATCTTCTATCTTCCCAGGTGCATTAATGGGCACCTGGATTGGAAACAAAGCAGCCAGGACTCAGACACTCCAACATGGGATGCTGGCATCAAACAGCTACCCTACAATGCCAGCCCCTGAAACGCGCTCTAGACTGAGGCATAGCAGGGATTTCAGTATTTAATGATGGATTATAATTTTTAGAGTGACACTCTCTAATTTAAAGAAATAAATTATTTATACATTGGGATTTCTGTTTATATCGTAATTGAAACCAAGGTTGCTGTGAATTTTTTCATGAACTTAGATTTAGCTACCTTTAAGTTAGAATTTCATACTTTTTTAAAAGAATATTTTATTTATTTTTATTTGAGAGTTAGAGTTACAGACAGTGACAGGGAGAGACAGAGAGAAAGGTCTTCCTTCCATTGGTTCACTCTCCAAATGGCCGCAACAGCCGGAGCTGCACCAATCCGAAGCCAGGAGCCAGGCACTTCTTCCTGTTCTCGTATATGGGTGCAGGGGCCCAAGGACTAGGGCTATCTCTACTGTTTTCCCAGGCCATAGCAGAGAGCTGGACTGGAAGTGGAGCAGCCAGGACTAGAACCAGCACCCATATGGGATTCGGGCGCCACAGGCGGAAGATTAACCTACTGCGCCACAGCGCCGGCCCCCAGAATTTCATACTTTCAATTTATATTAATAAGGCACTCTCAAACATTACTATGTTATACCCCTCAATGCATTTGATCATTTGGCAGGAATGTTACTGGTTAACTTTCCTAAATCTTGTTTCTCATGCCATCAAAATGAAACCCACTACAGAAAAGCTGAGGGATAGAATCAAGGACTGAACAATAACTGCTTAGCTATCCAAAGTTACCGACATTCAAATACTAAAACAGAATAAGGAATTTGGGGATTATTTGGATTTTTGCAGGACAAAATGTGAAAAAATTAACTAGCTGAGTTTATCTTAAAAACTAGGTCATCTCACAGAATGAAAGGATGGCTGTCTAATTATCTAGAAGCTTGAAACCTCAAACTGGTTAAACCACTGTGTTTGTCTTATTAGAGATTAGCCTTTTAGACATCTTATAAACCTGGCTGGGTCCTAGATAATGATAATCAATTATATAGTTAATGGATCCCCAAGGTTACCACACAAAATGTTAGATACCATAGTAACCGCATAAAAATAAGATATCACAGAGACATTTTTTGTTAAGATTCAGAATATGCTTATTTACAAATCTAACTAGAAAAATAGAACAACAAACTGGTTACCCCAACTAAAAGTAAGAGTATCCTAAAGCAGGAAGCCAATTAGTAAGGGCTGGAATCATAAGGAAATTTACAGGTTAAGTGTTATAAGTACTGATCTTTGAACAGAATACCGCTAGAGGGAGATGATATAGAGGAACAAAGGAAGGAGGAAGGAACTAACATTGTCGGAGTAACTACTCAACCTACTGTGTTAGGCAGAGTACCAAACACATTATTTACATGGTCTAATTGGATCCTCACAGCAAGCCTAGGTGGTAAGTAAATAGAATAGGGGCTGACATTGTGGCAACCTGGGACACCAGCATCCCATATGGGCACCAGTTTGAGTCCCAGCTGCTCCACCTCCTATTTACTCCCTGTTTTCTTTCTTTCTTTCTTTCTTTCTTTCTTTCTTTCTTTCTTTCTTTCTTTTTTTTCTGACAGGCAGAGTGGACAGTGAGAGAGAGAGAGAGAGAAAGGTCTTCCTTTGCCATTAGTTCACCCCCAATGGCCGCTGTGGCCAGTGCTCTGTGGCTGCACACCGCGCTGATCCAAAGCCAGGAGCCAGGTGCTTTTCCTGGTCTCCCATGTGGGTGCAGGGCCCAAGGACCTGGGCCATCCTCCACTGCACTCCCTGGCCACAGCAGAGAGCTGGCCTGGAAGAGGGGCAACCAGGACAGAATCCGGCGCCCTGACCGGGACTAGAACCCGGTGTGCCGGCGCCACAGGCGGAGGATTAGCCTATTGAGCCATGGCGCCGACCTCAACTCCCTATTAATGCACCTGGAAAAGCAGCAGAAGTCCTTGGACCCCTACAACCATATGGGAGACCCCAATGATGCTCCTGGCTCCTGGCTTTGGCCTGGCCCAGCCACAGCTGCTGCAACCATTTGGAGAGTGAATATTGGCAGCTGGAATTGCAACTCTTTCAAAAATAAATCTTTTTAAAAAAAAAAAAAAATTGCTAATTAACACAAATAGAAGACACTGGAGAGGATATCTCAGCAAAGACAGTCTGAGTCCAGACCCACATTTTGTTCCATACTAAGTTATGTCACCTATTCCCATCACATGGTAAGGAGACTGGTCTGCTAAAACCAAGGTCAGAATATTGGAAAGGAGCAAGCTCTCAAATAAAGTGGAACCTCAGCTCCCAGTAGCTCCTCATCAGTAAATAGGCCTCACACTGAAGTGAAATTTCCTGATTTGGAAATTCGCACTTAATCTTCATTTTATCTTCTACAACTATTTAAAGAAATTACTCCAAGATTTCACTTGTTACAAGGAAATGCGTGGAGGAAAAAGGCAATGTTACACAGCTGCCAGTGGGAGTAATTTTTAGCAGCTTGAATTGATATTAATATAAGCCATAATCTGAGTGTAAATGCAATGAGTCAGTATACCGCCACTTGGTACATTTCAGGGCCATTTTTCTTCACTTGTTTGCTGTCATTTCCCAGATTATATTCCTCTTATATACAAAGGACCATACAGAAAGGGATGGCAAAAAATAAATAACAACTCACTTTTCGTAGAGGTTATTTGACTTGGTTACACACTAGGGGATCAAATTTTCAAAGGTTTTTAAGTAATTATTCCATGGATAGTTTAAAGTTTACATAAGCATGGGCAACTACCAAAGGACACAAAAGTTTCCTGGATAAAGAAATGCCTTAACCAATAAAAATTTTAGGTGTACTTTCTTACCGATGAATAAGAATCTATGGGCTTCTTAGTTCACAGTGACAAAAGAGCTATGAACGCCTCATGTACCTCCCCACATGGGATCATGCTTATATTGGTTAATTAGTGTTGGTAAAAACCAAGTGAAATCCTAAGATAAAAATGCTATAAATTATACATAGGAGACATTGGTAAAGGTGTTATCAGCAGCAAGATTCAAGGTTTTGTTTTGTTTTGTTTTGTTAGCTGAAATACAGATTCTG